AATACTGTCCCCTGCTCAAAAGTCCCCAAATCAAATGCACCCCTCCCCCCCATTAAATGGGCTCTTAATTACCCTCCCCCCGTCAAATGCACCCAAGCCGCGCGCTCCGGTCAACCCTCCCCCTCCCCCATTAAATGGGCTCTTAATTACCCTCCCCCTCCGGTCAACGCCCCAGGGGCTGTAAAGCTTCTTCTCCAGGGCGCCCTTCTCTCATGTTTCCGCTATCGTTCTGACTTGTTATTTCTTATTAGGTGTTTGGTCGTACAAGTGAGTTGTCTCTATCTCTTCCTAGCTTGTTGACCCTACCTTAGAGGAGAGGTGAACCTATTATACACGTCAACATGCGGGGAAAAGTGCTGCATACTGCAGTGGTGGAGACGGCTCACTCCATGACCTAAAAATCCGACAATCATTACTCACTATTTTACAGATTCAATGGTTTATCCGCCAAACACAGATGCAGGAAATTCGATTTGGAGCGTTCGATCTCTTGTATTTCGATTTGAAAACTATGAAGAGAGTAAGATTAACTATGGTTCTCCCAGGATCACAAATCGACGCGTCCGGCGAACAAAGGCGAATCTGCGGAGCGCCCGGTAACAAAGGCGAATCTGCGGAGCGCCCGGTAACAAAGGCGAACCTGCGGAGCGCCCGGTAACAAAGGCGAATCTGTGTAGGATTTCTTATGGGGATTCGCCTTTGTTACCGGGCGCTCCGCAGGTTCGCCTTTGTTACCGGGCGCTCCGCAGATTCGCCTTTGTTACCGGGCGCTCTGCAGATTCGCCTTTGTTCGCCGGACGCGTCGAAATTCACATGGCAATTCTTTTCGTTTTTGATGACTGTGTATTTTTTTTTCTTTGTTTAGATCGTTGCCGCCATCATGACAAATATTGTCATTTTAGTGCAATTTTCTGCACTTTCAGCTCAAAGCAAACACAGAGAGCCATAGTATTGAACCACATATAGTGTTATTGGGCTTCGTCCAACCAAATATTCTTAAACAAAACTATACCAAAAGAGGCCTCCTGTCTCCCGATCGTGCCCCACAGGTTGGGGGAGGGGCAGCGAGGTAAGGGATCATCCACAAAGTACGTCCGTGATTCGCTGTTCCAAAACTGCCAAGTTCATCCTGTGCTAGCTCTCGGAGCGCCTGGTGGGTAGGCAACTTCTCGTATGTAGTGCATGTGTGTTGTGCGGGCTGGCCTACCTTGAGCCTCGCAGGCGCTCATTTCCCTCTTTCGCTGAACGAATCTTAGAAAAATCGGACGTACTTTCTGGATGGTCCCTAAGGCACCGCCGTACCATCGCTGTGGTCCAGGCGGCGGGCAGATCGTCGGCTGTGCGAAAAAGGAAGGGGGAGCTTCGTGGACACGTCGAGGGCACTGTCTGTCTGTTTAACAGCTGTTTAACGCCGTTTTGAGGCAGGCCCCAAGACTGTCTCACCGGGAAGGTCTCACTCCATACACGGTGGTCCGCTCCTCTAGCCCCGTTCTTTCTTTCTGGTTATACTGTTGTTGTACCGGACCGGACAAGGTGGATCCACCTTGGTACCGGATGCAGGCGTGCGAGTGGGCTTGCCTGTTAGCGCTCACCTGCGCGCCTTACAGCGCCGTGCGAGCATGCAAACCGCCCGCACGCCTCCACCCGGTACAGTATAACCAGAAGAAAGAACGGGGCTGACGGGACGGACCACCCTGGGATAAGGCTTCGGCTTGGCAACAGCGGCGGTTGCGAGGGTGGCGGCGGGGGTGGGAGGGGTGAGAGGTGGTGGGGGGCAGCGCGGACGGCGGCAGCGAGACAGACGCCTCCCAGCAAAGGATGCTTGGTTGTGATTAACTCTATGGTGCATACGCTTTGGTGTTGGACTTTTGAACACTAAAAAGTGTTCAACGGTAAATTTGAACACTTTGCAAGTGTCGATAGCTCAATAGCCAAGCCATACGTTGAACACATACAAGAAGTGTTCAACTTTACTGTTTTACACTTTTGCATATTATTCAAATGTCCAGTCAAACACTTTAAAAGGTGCGACGTTTCGTTGAGCTCTTGCACGGACATGGCAGTTGCACACTTTATTTATCGGTGTACGTACGGGGTTATGGCCATCATGGGGTGAAACCTGGACCGTGCCGACTGGGGTGCTGGGTGCTATATGTGCTATAGGTGCTATGCTATACAATCCTGCATTGACAGACGATCTTATTGCTTTCGAAGTACCGAGACCCTCTCGCCCAAGGCGCGTGGCCCCGCCCCGCCCCGCCCACGCCAAAGACGTCGCCGAAACCGAGCTGCCGTTGTGCAACGCCGTAGCACACCAGCCCAGCTGCATAGAGACCAGCCATCCAGCAGCGGAGCGTGCCACTGCCCGAGCTCGTTACACCATCAACCCTCTTTCAACCACCTTCATCCCGGGCGCTGTTTTAATGGGGGAAGGGGGGGGGCGGCGAAGGGGTGACCTCCCCCCCCGCCTACTTCTAGGGTAGGTAGGCAATTTGTTCTACAAAACCCAAGACAGTAGGCAATCCAAAGCACATCGACCGCTCCGCCAGACGGACTTAAAACCGCGCCTGTTTCATCCACCCAAAAGTCACCGTATTACTGGGCTTGAATTTAAGCTTGGGATCGCGCGTTGGGCTTGGCTCAACCCTTAACTTGCCTTGACCATTTGTGTGCTGTCGCTTTTCAAATTAATTGCGCTACTTACTACACGGCAAGAAGCAAATGATCTCCCCATCCCCCAAGTAGTAATACTGTCCCCTGCTCAAAAGTCCCCAAATCAAATGCACCCCTCCCCCCCATTAAATGGGCTCTTAATTACCCTCCCCCAGTCAAATGCACCCCTCCCCCCCATTAAATGGGCTCTTAATTACCCTCCCCCTCCGGTCAACGCCACCCCTCTCCCCTCCAGTCACCCCTCCCCCTCCGGTCAACCCTAGGTCAACGCGACCCTCTTTTTCTCCCTCTCCCTCCCCCCGCTCTGCATCGGCACTTGGGCCGTGCGGGGCTTGTGACCCACATGCTGCATTAGGGGAAGGGAAAGGAGAAAGGAAAGGAGAAAGGAAAGGGGAGAAAGGAAAGGGGGAAGGGAAAGGGAAAGGAATAGGAACATAAGGGAAGGATAATTTTTTATTGCTCCGCCAAATCCATCAAGGCTAGTAGTGTTGCCTCATCGTCCTCATCGAGGTCCACCTCCTGATAACCGTAGGGGCGCGTGTCTTTACGCCCCTCGTCCAGTTGTCTCTTGGTGAGACAGGGTCTCCAGATCTTTTGGGCAGGCCGTGTCACCAGCCTCCACCCCTTGACTCTGGCTATCTGGGAGGGGATTTTAATCAGTGTTGGGTCTTTGCCGTGCAGCACCATGTCTTTGAACCGGTCAAAGGTCACAATGTCACTACATGACTGGTTAATTGTGACACCCCTCAGCTTGATGATCACCTTTGTGTTGTTCACATCACCTCCGCATGCAATTTTCATTGCATATTGCTTAGCCCCGCCCGAGCAAAACTCATAGCAAAAACTACCCGGGCCGAACGCTTCCAGCTCGTCTGTCAGCTGACCTAGGTAGGGGCCTAGGGGTGGGTCTGGGCACCCAGGGCGTGCCACGAACGCCACAGAATCGGTATCTTCGTAACAGAGCCTGTCCTGCAGCAGCTCCATGTACTTGTAGAGCTCCAGGCGGCCGTACATAGTAGTGTACGCCCCATGGATAACAGAGTTGGTAGGCAAGGACTCCTGGCAGGCTTCTACTAGGGTGTAAGAAATTTGCACAAGACTGTCACTGATTGGGGTGATGGCCTGGATCTGTATGGTATCGTCCGTGACAAACTCTAGCAGCTGTGTGTAGTTTTGCACCATGACGATGTGGGAGCGCTCAGGACGCTCGCACGCCTTGCCCCAGGCAGAGTTTAGAATACCCTTATAGAGATGGCGCAAGGAGGCATTTTTCTTCACGGCGGTGGGGTCTACGGTGATGCCGAGCAGTCTTTTGTTGCCATCAACAAACTCCTGCTTGGCCTCATCCGAGGTGCAGTGGGAGGGCCAGCCGCTCGCCTCGATCTTTTTACGCATCCAGTGCGTAATGAACTTACTGAACAGCCCCTCCTCTCCGGTCTGTACATTGTACTGCATGGTGTTCGGGTAGTGCCAGACCTCCTCAGTCTTGAGGATCAGGTACCCGAGCTGTAGGGCCTTACGCACCTCGGGCACGGGCCACACTCCCCTTAGACACCTCTCCTCGTCCAGGTTGTGAGTGCAGGGCCCCTGGTTCTCCTGCTCGCCGCATGTGCGGCAGAGGACGAACAATAGGCGGCCGTTGGGGGAGCGCCAGGGGAGGAGGGGGAGCAGCAGGTCCCGCGGGGGGAGCACCGTGCAGGAGATGTAGCCCTCCGTCTGGTCCAGAGAGGGTGCAGCGGGGTCCTCCCCAACAAAGACCTCAGGGTGACCTATCACATACTTTTTCATGCAGAGGACGGCAGGATAGAGACTCTGCACGTCATAATAATTTATTCGCTCGCCGGCCTCCAGGTCGCACTTGTAGTAGGCCTTGAAGGCGCCCGTGCGGCCGCCGTACAGCCCATCCCGCTCGTTGAGGACGGCGGGAGGCTCACACTTGTTCTCTTTAAAGAAGTCTATCATGTGAGGGTTGTATTTTTCCTCACTGTCAAACTGGCACTCCCAGATCATTTTGATCTTGTAGCCAGACCGCCTGAGAGTGTCATGGATCCGCATGGTCCGTAAGTAACGCTCCTTGCGGGTGGCCTCGGCCCTCTTGTCGCGCACCTCGCGAGTGACACTTTTGAAGGTAAGGCACTGGTCCGGCGGGTGCGAGTGATGCCAGCACCCAAGAAAATCAAAAACTATTTTCTCTCCATTGATCTCGGCGTACCCATCCACCTTGTAGGTGCCCAGGAGGCGCACCTCACGGCCGTTGCCGGCGTGTTGAATCTGGGAGGGTGGCTGCAGCCTAGAGTTTTCAAACGCCAACCAGCGCAGGGCCTTTAGGGAGCAGGTATCCAGCCCTCTGTAAAAACCAGGGCGCGGTATGATACCCATGGTATGAGGGCGCATAAAGTCACGCCTGAAAATGCAGAATGTAGTACTGCTCAAAGTGAGACAGTGGTGCAGGCAGTCAAAGCCTGCCTCTTGAATGAAATCAGTGCGAAACTTTTCGCAAGCCAACCGTAAAATTCTGACGTCATTTATCGTGTACTCTTTAATTTCCTCTCTAAAATAAAAAATGACACCGGCTTGGAGCTGTTCGGTATGCCACCGCTCAAATGTTTCGGCATCTTTAACAGACATCTTACCGATGCTGTAGAACTCTTTAGCGGGCATAGGACCCACGTAAGAATAATGTTCAGGTCGGTTAAACATGTAAGGAAAATCAAATTTTTTCACTCCTTCGATACCGAAGCAGCCAGGCAGGTTGCTCAGCTTGGTGCCGAGAAAGAGGCAAGAGTCCTTGAACACCCAGGAGCCGTAGTTCATACCCAAAATTCTCAGCCCTTTACAGATCAAAGTGGGTATTTTGCCACGGGCGGCCATCTCTTGGAGGTACAGATGGTTGTCAAAGCCTGAGGCATTGTGGGACCAAATGGCGATATGCCTTTTAGTCTTCTCCTCGAAAGCAGGCTGTTGAGACGATAATTCCTCTAAGAAATTTAAAAAATCCGTGACGGGATTTTTGTCAATATTGTCAAGTGCATGAAATACTTTTGTGCGCTCACCGTGATTAGGACAGGTGATGAAGTCACCTTCGTCTTTCTCACAAAGTTCACACACTACTTGACACACAAGATAATTTACTTTATGTTCAAACCAATTATTTTTGTCTTGGTAGACCTCAAATTGAGTCGTTTCGCAATCTGCGTAGACTCTCAGGTAATCAGTTTTTTCACACAGGGGTTGCTCCTCCCAAGGGAGAATGTAGCACCTGTGGGGTTTGTTAGGAAACTCGACAACAATATCCTTACAATATTTACAATAATAGGAGTTACACACATGTTGTGTACGTTTCCTCTTGCCACGACCATTCAAACTATATACACTGTTACACGTCTTACAAAACTTTTTTACAAGGCAGGTAGTAGCGCCGTGGGCGTGGATCTTGGTGGTCTTATGGAAATCAAAACACTCCTGAGAAGCAAAGAAACGATTGCAGAGGTTGCAATCTATGTATTTACCCCCGTCAAGGGGGTGGTCCTCAGGCCCACCGCACCGCCAACAGGAGCCAGGGCAGTGGTGGGAATCTTTGTTGCTGTACCCACAAAGACAGTCTTCACAAAAGTACACCCACCCAAACGCCGTCGCCGGTTTAAGAATGGCGTGGAAGTGCCCCTCATGTAGAAATAAACACAGATTTCTACGGGGCTGCTCCACAGTAGACTGGGGCCCTGTGTAAGCCCTCTCTTTACCGCGCCTGTCTAAAAAGACAACGAGGCGGTAATTTTCCAACACTTTTTGGAATTTCTCTACCTCACCCATACCACAAGGGATTTGGGGGTCCACACCAGCCTCAGCACACAGCTCCAAAGCCTTGCTTGTTTGGAGCGTAGAGGCAGGTTTCTTGTGGTGACACAGCAGAGCGTGGGAAATATTTTTGTACATGGTACCAATGACGAGACAGCGCGCTAGACACATGTTATCGTTATTTTTCGGGGTGAAAATAGCACCTGACTTGGGGCCGTAACGGTGCAGCCATGCCTCGACCGTCTCACACGGCCTCCTATCGGGCCTACCGCCGGGGCGGGTCACAGGGATGTGGAGCATCTTGAACCGCAGCCGCCCGTCCACAAGAAAATCTTGGTTTGAGTTTAAGGTGCGCATGACCTGGCTCAAGATGACGTCTGGAGCAAGCTGGTCTATGCGTCTTAGGCCGAGAAACACGGGGCGGTCCGTGTGCTCGCTAGAATCTACTTCAATAAAACAGCGGTCGTCGGGCGCCGCTTTGAGCGCCTCGATTTGGCGGTCTAGGATAGTTTGAAGAAAGCCCTCCATACTTTCTTGTGTCAAAATATCCTTCACAACTCCTTTAATTTGTACAGTCTCCTCACGGGCTGTCATTTTGAAATTTTTGAGTTCCCTCTGACTTGTTGATTGTATTTCAATGACGGGCAATTCATCGGCCTCGTCATTTTGCCACGGCCGCCACATGGGTGGCGGCGCGCTCCGTGCCTCCTGAGGGGAGGGGGCGCGGGGAGGAGGGGTGCGCTGCTCCTCAGAGGAGGGGGCAGCGCGTGGTGACGGGGTGCGTGGCGGCGGAGACGCCCGGCCCGCACCGCCGTCTGGAGGGGTGTCTCGCACCTCGGCCTCCAGACGACGAGCGCGAGCTCGGCGGGTCTCCATCCCCATCCCCAGCATTCTCAGGGCGAGATTGTACTGCTGGGGAGGGTCACGCCCCTGGAGACGCTCCATGTAAAGAGCATCTCCTTCAAGTATGAAAGCATCTAAAGTTTCAGAGCGGTTCACCACGATACCGCCCTGGACCACAGCGTCTATGAGACGCTCAAATGAATCTAAGATAGCCACCGCACTGAGGGTGCCGGCGGCAAAGCGTGGGAGATGCTCTGAGAGCAGAGTCAAAAGATCCGCGGCGCTGAGGGCGCTGGCGGTAGAGTGAGAGACCTGCGATGCAGGCATGGTCTCTCCGGTGCGCTGAAGGCGCACAGACTGAAGTGTCAGACGCCGTGCGCCAAGGTCTCACCCTCACACCCACCCCCACCCTTCTTTGCTCACTAGCGCTGGTGGCTGTTTAGTGAACTACCCCTTGTGAGCAGGTACCGCCTGCCCCTTCGGCCCGGCTCGGCTCCGGCGAAGTGGCCCGGGCGTGCTCGGTCCCGGTGGTGCTCGGCTCGTATCACTAGCGCTCCTAGCGGATTTTTTGGAAAACTACCCCTTCGGGCCGGCTCGGCTCCGACGAAGTAGCGCGGTCGTGCTCGGTCCTGGCGGCGCTCGGCTCGTATCATTAGCGCTCCTCGCGGATTTTCTGACAACTACCCTTCGGGCCGACTCGGCTCTGACGAAGTGGCCCGCCCGTGCTCGGGCCCGGCGACGCTCGGCTCGTATCACTACCGCTCCTAGCGGGT